CCCCAGTTATTTTGCTGCAGCCGGACTGCAGCACTCAGTCCCTCCTTCCAGGCACTATTAGCTAGGGGCCCATCAAATTTCCATACTGTTGATAGCAAGTGACAGAGAGCTGCATGCCTGCACAGCTGCTTAGAGGAACCTTATTTGTAACAGTCCCAAGTTGGAAACCACTCCAGCATGAAGCAACAGGTGAGCGCATAAACAAATGGAGGCATATCCATTCGGCCGAATAGAATATAATAGAAAAGAACTATTGATATTTGCAAGAACCTGGATGAATCTCAAAATAATGAAGGTGAATGAAAGAATGCAGATAAGGAAGAGGAAATAGTGTATGGTTTCATTTATATAGCATTCTAGAAAACACATATTAATCTGAGGTGACAGGAAGCAGGGCTGGTGGTGGTCTGGGCTAGGAGGGGGACAGCGATCATGAAAGGGTGTGAGCAAACCTTGGGGCTGATGGACATGGAAGTGACTGTGGTGACAGTTTCTCAGATGTATCAAAATGCAAAAATTCCATCATGTTTATTATATGTCAGTAGCACCTCAATAAATCTGTTAAAGTTAAAACAAAAGGAATCAAACACAGATCCGTGAAGCAGATTAGACCAGAAGCTACTGAAGAAGCGGCATCTGCGCAAGCTTCACTCCTGGTGCATGGGGTGGGCAGCGCAGCTGGGTGAGGGGGGAGGTGCCGGGGAACCATCAGGGCCTTGGCTTTTAAGTATGGCCATGGATTTTCTGTGCCTTGAAGGACTTTGTAGACAGGCTGTAGGCCACCTCCCTCACATTAGTGGCAAAGCCCTGAGAGCCAGGGGCATGTGCTACTCTGCTCATCCATGTGGGACATGCAGGGCTAGAAATGTCTTCAGACTGTCACCCCGGCTGCCGCTGTCCCTGCACTGGGGTGCTGTTGCTTTGCTCACCAGCTTCTAGAACATGAGGCCCGACAGACCAGAGGACTTGGAGAAAGCAGGGAAGGGAGAGGACTGGGGTGGGGTTGTAGGTGTGGGGTGGCTGATCCTGGATTGCTCTTTCAGGTGACCTGGGCTTCTCCTCCCTGGGCACACGGTGGGCAGCAGCGCTCCTTCTTCTTGTAATCCGCAGAGCAGGCATGACATACCAGGCCTCCGCAGAGCCTGGGGAGCAGAGACAGGGCAACCTGGGGTGGACGCTGCAGCTGGCCGAGGAAGCACGGGGGTTTGTGCCAGGGCTTTTCATCTCCCAGCAGGATGGCCCTTAGTCTGTCTCAGAAGTCTCCCCTTTCCTAAAGGGATTTCTGATGCCTGACCTCCCTGGACCCTCAACTCCAAGTGGCAGATTCTCCTGATGGCTCATGTCCCCCTCTTGCTCTGCTTGTCCTGCCACAGTGATGGCAGAGGACATCTGAGGAAGGTAAGGAGAGCAGCTCGCTCGGGGCAGGAACCCTTCTCCCAGATGAGGAGCCCATGGTCTGTCCTTTGAAGATGATGCAACCCTGTCACCCAGGACCCATTCCCTCTCTGGCCCCTTCCCCATGTTCTTGATCATGACAGCTTAGTGTCCGAGGCCAGGTGGGGTGAACGAGTGGCCAGGCGTAAGTGGCCTTTTATAAATGCCCCATTCCTTTGTTCCTTCTCTCCCTAGGGTGCAGAGGGGACTGTGGGCTGGTGGAAAGTGGACTGTCCCAGAGGAAGGAGTCTGTGTCCTTCCCGATACCTGCAGGGATACCGCCGGGACAGCCTGCTGAAGACCTTGCCGCAGCCAACGCAGACGGCGGGCACCACGGAGGAGAGCTGCTGCAGCCTCTGCCACTGGCGGTCCTTCTCACTGACAGGGACAGGGCGGAGGCAGAGGCAGGCAGAGAGACAGGAAGGAGGAGATGACCCGGATGGAGGGACAGAGAGGGGCCGAAAGAGGAACATGGAGGCAAAGAAGGAGGAAGAGGGGGATGGAGAGGGTGACAGAGGCAGGTGTACCCAGGTACACAGAAAGACAAAGTGAGATGGGTCCAAGGGGCAGGGAGACAGAAATGAAGAGGGAAGTGGATGATGGGAGACATTCAGAGAGAGAAAGGACGTTGGAGAGTTGGAGAGGGGACAGACGCACAGAGAAGGAGAGAGACACAAATGTAGAGGGAGAGAAAAACAAGAGGACACAGATGCAGGCACACACGGAGACAAACGGTGACAGAGACAGAGACAGGAGGAGAGAGAGAAAAATGAACAGGAGTGAGACACACCAGAGCTGGGTTAGTTCATTCTTGGAGAATCTGGATGGTGACACCCAGCTCCCGGCTCCCAGCAGAACGTGACCCAGATCAAGAACCCCTTCACCTCCTCCCAGTGCACCCCTTGGTCACAGAAGCCCCTGTGGTCCTGGCTCCAGGTGCCTACAGCACTTAAGGCCCACTTCACCTTTTATTTGGCACTTGAAACAAACTGGCGTATATTTATCTGTGTCTGCCCTTGCAAAACTATCTTCACTGTTTTGTTTTTTTTTAAAGGATGTTTAGAAATATCAGTTGTTTTAAAATTTTGTCAAAATAATACATATACACATTTTAAAACTCAAATAGCACAGAGGGCACATATTAAAAGACACTGGCACCTCCCCCTCCTTTCTATTTCCAGTGGAAACTCATTCTTGCAGGTTTGTTTTTTTTTTTTTTCTTTTTGGTATTAACTTCCATATCTCCCTCCTTCAGTAGAGAATAGTTGCTCTGGGGCCCTTCCCTTGACAGCAGAGCGTTTAGCTTATTTATTACCATCCTTGCCAGTTTCTCTTCCTTCCTCCAATGGAGTTATATCCCTATTTTTGGTTCCTCTGTTGGTTACCATTAGAAGTTTCCAGAATGTACTCACATATTTTTTTCTCATCCTATCTATGACTCCCGTTCAGTAATATGATGTTGCCCTTATCCCTTCCCTCATCTCTTCTCCTTCCTTCTCCTCCTGACTTGTCTTCTATTCCTGAAACATACAATATGGTAGCCACTTGCCACATGTGTCCAACTGAGCTAAAATTTAAAAAAATGAAAACCTTCATTCCTGTGTTGCACTGGATCAATATTTCAGGTGCCCCATCTCAACATGTGATCTGTGGCTACCACGGAGTCAACACAAATATCAAACATTTTGTCTCCACAGAACCTTTATTGGATTCTCCTCTATACTTAATGTTGTTAAGGTGATAGCATTCATGTTTCTATAATTGCCTCCTTTGCTTTGTCTTTAATTTGATTCTAAGGTTGAAAAAAAGATAATTAATTGCGTTTACATTATTAGAATATATATATATATTCTAATAATATATATAATATAATATATAATATAATATATATAATATATAATATATAATATTATATATATTCTAATATATATATGTTCTAATATATTATATATAATATATATCATATATATTATATTATATATTATATTATATATTATATATATATTATATATTATATATATATTTTATATATATATTATGTCCCAAAGAATTGTATTCTATAATTTATAAGTTGTGTTCTATCATTTATACGTTGTGTTCTATAATTAATTAATTAACTCATTCATTCATTCATTCAGCATTGGGGATTGGATCCAGGGCCTTGTGAATGCTAAGAAAGCACCCTACCACTGAGATATATCTCATCCCTTTCTATTTTTATTTTGAAATAGAATCTCTCTAAGTTGTCCAGGCTGGCCTTGAACATGTGGTCCTTCTGTCTCAGAGATTGAACTCAGGGGCACCCAACCACTGAGCCACATCCCCAGCCCTATTTTGTGTTTTATTTAGAGACAGGGTCTCACTGAGTTGCTTAACACCTCGCCATTGCTGAGGCTGGCTTTGAACTCAAGATCCTACTGTCTCAGCTTTCCGAGCTGCTGGGATTACAGGCATGTGCCAACTGTACTCAGCTCCCTCATATTTCCATTCCTGAAAGACTTATTTTTCTCAGAGTTTTTAACTGTCTTTCTTTATTCTTTGCATGAATTGCCTTTTACCTATAGTGCCCTCCCAACAATTCTCTACCATAGCAAATACACTTTTGCTTCTCTTCCCCAGAGACCTTCTTCTAGATTCCTCTCTTACAATCTAGAGAGCTCCCTGAACTTGCTGCCCACTTGTCTTCTTGGGAATTTCCTTTCCTTTTCTCCTAGGCTAGAACTTTTGTTCCCTGAATTCCACATCTTCTCCTTTCTTTGCTTACTTCCCTGTTTTCCTGGAGCACATCCTCAACTAACTTCCTATGAAAGGCTGTGTGGGAGGTGAATTTTCTAAGACCTTTCTGTCTGATAAATGTCTTTCTCCAATTCCTTCCCCATTTAATTCAAAGTTTGGCTGGGCCTGGAATTCTAGGGCAAAAGTCAGCTTTTCTTAGAACTTGAAGTATTATGTCATGGACTCTTGGCCTGCATTGGGTTCTACTTCTTTTATATGTGACTTGTGGTTTCCTCCAAACAGTTTGGAAATATTTTCTTTATCTTTGTTTGACTGAAATTTCTCACAATTGTATCTAAGTGTAGGTTTAGCTTGTTTTATGTTTTATTTTTCATTTCTTGTGCTGATCTTTCAGGGAAATCTTTACATCTGAAGATCTGTGTCTGTGAGAGTCTGGAAATTCACATTTTCACCTTTGTCAAATTTTATTTGACACTGTCCATTGTTTTTACTCTCCTTTTTTAGGAACTTCTGTATGTGGGTGAGGATATTGGAACTGTTAGACTGATTCTTTATGTCTCTAATTCTCCCGTGAATTCCAGCTTTCTGGGCTTTCCATTCTTTCTGAGAGACTGCCTCATCTTTCTCTTTCGATTCTTTTAGTGAATATTAAGACGTATTTGGCAACCATATTTTTAATTTCCGAGAACATGTCTCTTTCACAGCACCTTGTTTCAGGGGAGACACTCTGCCCCTGGTTTGTTGATTTTCCTCTCTCCCTTTTGTGTTCTAGACTCTCCTCAAAGCCTTGGTTGTCATTTACGTTTGAGAAAGAGGCAACAGAAGCGGGTTGGTGCTCCAGGTATTGGACAGGGCTGATTGACAGGTGGCTTCCCTTTCAAGGGCACTTGGCAGGGAGTTACCTAGTGTACTAGACTCCCAAATGCCACTACGATCTGGTCTTCTACTTGGGACACCTAAATTTCTTTAGAGAGGACCTGTCGATTATTTGCTTTGGAGAAAAGGTGATTGCTGCTGGGTATTCTGCGGGGGGGTGGGGTGGGGGGAGGCAGGCAGAGGAGGGGGGACGTACACTCCTCTTCCTTCACCACGGGGCCCGGGGATCTCCAGGTCTTCGAGGGCTACCTGGGGCTTCACACAGCATCCACTTAGCCATCCATTTCCCAGCTTTTGGAAATGAGCTGGAATCTCTCCCCTTTGCTCAGTCCAGCTCCTTTTCTCTATTGTAAGGTTTATTCTCTTACACTCATTATGGTGAGCTCTCAGGATGGAGAACAGAGTCCTGTCTTCCATAAAGCTTCTGCCAGAAGCTTGTATTATATAGATTGGAGTTCCCTGAACACACCTGATTAATGTCTTTGATATCAGAAAAAACTAGTCCATGTAATATATATCAGTGTATATATCTAGTATATTTCCTTTGAACGGATAGTGAGCGTTAGGCAATTCTCTCCTTGTCTTTTCCTTTTTGATCCTCCTACAAAGATGCTTAGAGCTGAATTCTAACCCTAATCTTAATATACATCCTAGCTCCGCAGAGTGTTTTTTCCTCCTGTTTCATCTTCCATTTAATCTTCTACTTTTTTCTTAGCAATCTCATGTACGTGTTTTTTTCTTGTTAGCTACCTTAAACTCTTTTTTAATATTTATTTTTTAGTTGTAGTTGAACACAATACCTTTATTTTATTTATTTATATGTGGTGCTGAGGATGGAACCCAGGGCCTCGCACGTGCTAGGTGAGCGCCCTACCTCTGAGCCACAACCCCCGCCCTATCTTAAGCTCTTTGGTGAGGAAAGAGGTTGTTAACCTTTTATATCTCCCTTCCTCTTGCCCAATAGACACCTTGGAGGAACTCTTTCCTTAAATTATTTGTCTGTGCCTTCCAAGTTGATCTGTCTTTCTCAGCCTTAATATTTGGAGTTTCCATAAGAGAATTCCACTCTGGGTGACCTCCCAACAACCTTCTAACTTGAATGGAACTTGAGCCCAACCTGAGTCTCCTGTCCCCTAAACTACACCAAAGGATAACACATGTGTGAATTATCTCCTTATTAGACTCAAAGGTGGAAGCTGTGCTTCACAGCCCCACCCCCACTCTCTGAGAGCACAGGGGTCTGAATGGACCCTGGTGACCCTGGCCTCTGGAACCTAGAATGCTGACTGGAGTCAGGCCCACGGGCCCAGGGGTCTGAGGAAGACCTGAGGGCAGGCAGGTGTGGGACATGTGACTATTTGGTTAATCCCAGTGTTTCCTTTCCTCCCTCCCCTAATTCCTTCTCAACCCATGAGTTCCCCTCTCTTCTCCTAATTGCAGTAGGTGTGTGTACGTGGAGGCAGGGGAGGCCTTATTTTCAGGGGACTCTGCAAAGCTTATATGCTGTCCTTGGTGACCAAGTCAGCCCCTCTGACCTTCAGTCTCCTCATCTGTAAAGGAACATCCAGGGATATAAAGATAGCACTGTGGGATCTCTAGAATCCTGCTTGAGAGCTGTGGTTGGGATAGTTTTCCTGTCCACTCTCCACACCCCTTGCCTTTCCTCCTTCGGCACCCCAGCCCCTCCCTCCTGCCCGTCCTTACTGAACCAGTTCCAGCACCCTCATCTTCATGGCCTGGACCAGGTCCCGCTGCCCTCCGAGCTCCTCCTCGTGCAGGGCGTCCCTCCTCTCAGCCTCCTGGTGCTGCTGCTCCAGCTCTGCCTGCAGCCGGGCTCTCTCCTCCTGACATCTGTGCACAGAAGGAAGACCGAGTCCTGAGGGAGAAGGCTCAGCCTCTGCCACTGAGCCGGGCTGGGCCTCTGGCTGCCAGGGAGCCCCCTGCGGGGAGGGAGCTGGTGGCAACCGAAGTCCATGGGTGTGGGTGTGCTCGGTGCACAACACACCCACACGTACTCACCAACACTGAGCTGAGCCCGTGTGAGGTCTGACACCTGTAGGCGACTCTTCAGCGATCATTTAGAGAAATGAAAAGACGGGCTAGCTGCGTTCCTTCAGGGGCCACTTGCCAACATTTCCATCCCCCCCTTATGCCTTTTCCTTTAAAATATTTCCATTTTGGAGTGAAATTTTCCTGAAAGGTGTGTTCACAGCATGGCAACCTTCTGAGGCAAGGTGTGTGCCTGGGAACTCAGGCAGGATGGACTGTGCCCAGCTGGAAACAATCATGTATGGAGCGGGGGG